ATGCTCAGGCTATTGCATCAACATCATTGGAAGATGATTATATCAATTTGAGAAGGAGTGATATTGATCTAATTATTGTAAATTTGGTCTCAACTTTAAAAAAGAGGAAAAAGACTCAAGCAGAGAATTAGAACGCTTTAATTAAAGAATAGAACACAAATGATATTGTGTTATTGAGATAAAATTTAAGTTGTATCTTCACTATAACTATTCCTTTTTTAGACATATGATGTTCTTTTCTTCATATTTTGGATGTGGCTTTGACATTGCAGCAAGTGCTTCTACATTAGTGTATTATGTATTTATTGTTATGCTTGTCCTTCGTGATATCTTCTTCTTTTATTCATTTCTCTTTTGATATTTGTTTCATACATAGTGTGTAATACTTAAATTCCTTTTCATAGCAGGAAAATGAAAACTCAAGAAGTCACTTCCAAAAGCAAAAAGGCACAATTTCTAGCACCCAGGTCATTAATTAGGAAGCGACTTCAAGCAATTGCAGAAAATTCATTAAGAAGGGAACAACTCCGTACTTGTCATGACATGAACTTGAATATTCAAAATCCAACACAATATCAAAATATGGATGCAAATTTTAGCGCTGATTCAGAAAACTTTGAAGAGGAGAATTTTGCACAAAATCGCAGGAGAAGTGCAAATACTAACAATGAAGAGAATGATGATTCTGCAGGTTGATGAGACTTAAAATTTATTATTATTTGTTTTTATCTTTCAATTTATTTTTTATGATTGGATTAATAATTGCTCAATTTTTACAGAATCAAATAATCATCGAGTGCAAAGTGATGATGTAATACTAAATGAATCTCGACAAGAAGGTATATTCTTTATTAATTACAAGAAGAAATATTTTTATCAATTTCTTTAACTATATCTTGTTTCTAACATATGATATGATGTATGCAGCTGATAATTCTCAAAGGAAGAAAAATCCACCTCGTGGTAGTAATAAGTGTCTAAAGTTGAATAATTTGTCACATGGGGAGAAAAAAATCATTACTTTTTATCAGAATAGAGCTATTGAACCAGAATTTTCACGATATCTTGGAATTATTATTCGAGATAGAAATATTTGCCCAGTAGCTGTTGAGAATTGGGCCAAAATACCACAACAAAATAAAGATCATATGTGGGCATCCATTAAGGTACATTGAAAATTAATTTTTTACAATTGGTTTTTAATTCTTATAAATTAAATTTTGATTCAAATTTGATATAGGATAAATTTGATGCTGATGACATGGAGCAAAAGAGAGAGTCAGTAATGAGACACTTGCGCAATTTGTGAGATAAGTGGTCGGGTGACATGCACAGGAAATATGTGAAAGAAAATTCATTGCAAGTTGCACTTAGAAATAAACCTATAGAAGTGAGTGTTGATGACTGGGATTGGCTAGTTAAGGAACATTATTTTTCTTCAAAATTCCAGGTATTAATCTCCTAATTTTATTAATTAATTTGTTCCATGTATATTGTTGGATTGTTAAAATTATCTTTTAATCTTGATGTATAGAAAGCAAGCCAACAAAATACACTTAACAGAGGCAAAAGAAAGATGCTCCACCACACGGGCAGCAAATCCTTTAGAAAAATTGCGTGGGAATTGGTATACATTCAAAACTAACTTCCTATTTATTTATAACTACTTTGTTTTTGAGTTTGATGTTGTACTCATTTATATTTAATATTTGAATAAGGGTGGCAAGTCAGGAAATCCACCTGATGTGGCAAAAATGTTTCATGAAACTCGAAAGAAAGCTAATGAAACACTAGAAAATGGGGATCAAGATAAATATGTAAGTAGAATATGTGTTTAAGTTTGATAATGATGCATTATATAGTACTAACATACGAATTTAATTTTTATAGGATGAAATTGTTCAAGTCAAACAAGCAAACCCTTCACTTTCTGACATTGAGATAGTTGAGAAAATCTGGGGGAAGCAATCTCATGGTCACATCACTGTATTTGGTGGCGGGACTACTTTGAAAGATTTAAGAGGACCGCTCCCTAGCTAGTCGATCTGATCTGGAAGCACGGGTTATAGAAGAAAAGAGAAAGAACCAGATGCTTCAACAACGCTTAGATGAGCAGGAGCAACAACAACAAAGGATGTCTGAGTTGGAGTCACAAGTGAAAGCTATGCAAGAACTTTTTTTTAGGCAATCACCTTCATTAACTCCTCAAACTCGAGAACATGTGCAGGACTAGGTAATTATTTTTTGTAAAATCTCTTATATACTTTTATGATTGACTACTTGCACTAAAAAAATATGATTTTTACTTAATAAGATAATATTTGCTTAATTGATATTTCTTAATTATGTGATTTTTTTTAAATTTTTAGGATTTTTTTGTTTTCCCTCTTATTCATTATTGGGTATTTTTAATATATTTTTGTTGTGAATCTTAATGTCAGATTGAGAATAATATGATAGTTGCCTATGAATGAAAAAATTATTATTGATGTATATTAGAAATTTGTAGTCTATAATGACGGTTTTATAAACCGTATTTTGTTCATCAACGAAGGGAAAGCACCGTCGTTGATGGGTTACTAATTACCCATTATGAGGACTTTTACGACGGTATCCAACCGTCATTAATTAGTCTTCAACGATGGGAAAAATATCCCCGTAACTAATGGTAACGACGGGAAAATATCCCCGTAACTGATGGTAACGACGGGAAAATATCCCGTCACTGATGGTAACGACGGGAAAATATCCCCGTTACTGATGGTAACGACGGTGATAATTACCGTCGTAAATATTAACGACGGTAATATGTTCCGTCGTTATAGACTCTATAACGACGGGTAGTATATCCCTTCGTGACCCTTTAGCGAAGAGGGCTTCAACAACGGGTGACGAAGGGATTTTTCCCCGTCGTTAGCATACAATAACGAAGGTTTTCAGGTCTTTAACGAAGGGAAATCCCTTCGTTAAAGACGTAATTTCTTGTAGTGACCCCATTGATCTCAGTTCTCATATACAACAAGATAATGTTTTAAAAAGTTTTAAAAAGAGTTTAAGCTTGTTTTAAGCTTGTTTAAGAGTTTAGTTTACGAAGAAAGTTTTATAAGAGCTTGAGGAGATTATCAATTGTATTTTGGGCATTCAATCCATCTCTCTCTTGTCATGTAGAGAAGTTTTCCTAAACTCAACTCTAGCTTTTATTTATAATTATTTGTTGATTATCATTTTTATTAAAGCTAGTTTTATATTGAGTTTAGATTTGATTTTATCTCATTTTTACACACACCCACTTGAGCTTATTGTATTTGTATACATAGTATATTAGGGTTGTGAGAGATTGCAACATTGAGTTGTGCTTAATTGAGTTCTCCTCTTGTATGAGAGAAAAAATCATTTATTGTTACATTGTGAGATTGTAATATTTTCGGTGAGCTAGAAAACCGAGTGTGTTGTGAAGTTTTCGGTGAACTAGAAAACCGAGTGTGAGGAGTGAACGTTGTTCAGTGAGCGTTGAAAACCGATACTGTGAGGTGTAAACGTTATTCGAGTGAGCATAGAAAACCCGGTTGTGATAATGGATTTCTCCTTGAGAGTGGGGAGCGGAGACGTAGGACGGAAGGTCGGAACTCCGTGATCATATTGCTTGTTTGAGTTTGGCTTAGCACACTTATATTTGTTCATCTTTATAGCCTCGTGATCATATTGCTTGTTTGAGTTTGGCTTAGCACACTTATATTTGTTCATCTTTATAGCCTCTCTCTCATTGTTTATTTCATCCACTATATCATTTGTTTATGTTACCCTTATGTTTGCATATCCTTGCATATATCATATTATATATCTCTTTGGTAGGATATATCATCTTGTGCTAGTTAATATATCCTTGCATATTTTTCATTATATAGGATATATCTCTTTATTCATATTGCTTATTCTTGCTTATAACTCTTGTATATCTATCTTACAAGAATATACTTGTTAATTAATTTTAATTGGCATAAAATCGGATTAGATTAGCATAAGACCCTAATCAGAATATACTTGTTAATTAATTTTAATTGGCATAAAATCGGATTAGATTAGCATAAGACCCTAATCACCCATCTCTAGGGTCTAACAATTGGTATCAGAGCTTGGTGTTCTTTGATTTAAGGTCTAATCGTCTTGAGTTAAAGATCCAAATTATCTTTTTATGCTAATCCAATTTGTGATTTTTGTATCTTGCTTGCATATTTTTACAAATTATGGATATGAATGATGCATCTTGTTTAGGATATAATTCTAGTGTTGCTCCTAAATTCAATGTTTTTCCCTATGCTCAATGGTGCTTTAGATTCAAAATATTTGTGTTTTTCCCTATGCTCAATGGTGCTTTAGATTCAAAATATTTGTTCAATCTAAAAATATTAATTTATGGAAAATCATTGATTGTGCTTATATTTTCAATCTAAAAATATTAATTTATGGAAAATCATTGATTGTGCTTATATTGTGCCCACGTTGGAGAAATCAAAGTGGAGCAAACATGATAAAAAGATGTTTATTATGAACAAGCTTATTTTAGAATTTTTATTAAATACATTTGATTCATTTATGTCTAACAAGCTTGATTCTTTTGATAGCGCTTATACATTATGGAAATTCATAGAAGCGTATCAAGGAGACTTGAAGGTGATCCAACAAGCTTTGGAGGATCCCGCTTCAAGTTCTAAAGGAGCTTCATGCACACGAGCACTAGGCGATAGCCCTAGTGAGGTTTATGAGTTCGAATCTATTAATGATTTACCTAAAATGATGAACATGCTTGTGCTAGTAAAAAATTATTGTATGCCTTTAACAAATTTCAAAATGATTTTATTAATTTAAAAAGCAAGCATGAAGATTTTGTAGGCTGTCTAAAAATCACGATGGATAGCTGATCCCTATCAAGCTCCGACAATAAAAGTCATAATCAGACGACTGTCTAATCACTGTATTCGTAATTCTACAATCGCTACAAACACGGCCTCATTTCTGAGATGATTGATCTTGATGGTTGCGACAACAACATGACTAATATTATATTAGCAACTATTAGAGATGTTGATAAGCAATGTAATGATTTCAGAAATAAAAGGTTGGACGTAGTTGGTGAGTTGCTTGGTAGAGGGCTGTGGGCAAATATTCATCTAAAAACACTATGGATGTTGATTCCCGTCAAGTTCCTACAACGAAAGCTATAATCAAATAGCTTTCGCGCCGACAATCGAAAACTGCAAATGGAGGACTTTTCACATAGATCGAGAAGAGTTACAATTCAACGACACTTCCAACAATTGATGAAAACTCTATTCAGCAGTCTTTACATTTTGCAGTGAAAGTTACAATCTGACGATTTTCACACTCCACAACAGCTAAAGCTAGGATTACTGAATAACGGTCCTTGCAACGCTTTACAGAAGAAGTTACAAGTCAACTAGCTCCTTCTAAAACGCGGATGTCATCCCCGCGTTGCAATTCTGGAAGTGCAGGCGACCCCCGCGTTTCCAAGCACAAGCTAAACGTGAGCGACCCTCGCGTTCGTAGGGGTTCAACCAACACCGACCCCCACGTTTCCAAACTATAATAAACCAAACGCGAGTGACCCCCGCGTTCATTGGTGTTCAGCTAATACCCAACATCGCGTCTCAATTCTGAGAGGCGACGTTGGGTTCTGAACGCCAGATTGGGCGTTTGACTCGTTCAAATACGAGCTGAATGGTTTCAGAACTGTTTCCCCACGATCTGAGGAAATCACGCCCACTTAGGAGCGGATTTAGAGGGCAGTTACAACCTCTCATCCACCTATAAAATCTCAACAAACTCAACTGAGTTAAGGGGCTGGCTTTTTAGAACGGAAGAGAGGCAGCAGATTGGATTGGGAGGATCTCAACCACTCAGGTTTGATAATTCAACAGCGGCAGGAGTAAAATCCTTGGAGATAGGATTTTTGAATCAAACTCAGAAGATCAAATCTGAGAGGATTCTTCAACAACAGAATATCAGCTTGGTCATTAACCGAATTTTCGGTCCTAACAACTCTATTAACAGAGTTCTAACTCGTTCAGAGTTCTTAAACTCATTCAAGAGTTACTCATAAAACTAAATTGGATATTGCTAACTTGACTCATGACAAAAATAATGCCATGTTAGAAGTAGAGAA